TCATCAGAGAGCAAGTTCCCAAAACTGGAGAAACCTTCAGGCAAGAAACAAACAGCGACTGTTGTTGTCGGAGCTTTGGCGGTCGCATGGTTGGCGATAGAGCTCGTGGTTAAGCCATTGTTCAAGAAATTTAACTCATCAAAGGACAAACCCGATTCTGACGAAGCCGGAGCTCCTCCGGCGACCGACGCCTGAAGCTGATGAGAATAGCTTTACCTGCGGGAGACACGTGAAGGTTGTTAATTACTTCTTAATAAAGTTTTATTATTATAAGCAAATGTTGTGTGTTCTTGTTTCTTCTGTAATATCGTTCGTTTTTTTGGTTTTTTAATAAAATCCCGAGGAGGAGTAATAAAATCAACGAGATACCTTCATGATGTACTAATTGATTTCATTTTCCTAATAAGCTTGGGCTCTGTTTGCAATAATATTGATTAAATATTAAAAGATTTATGAGTCATTTAGTTTTGTTGTTGTTCTTGTTAGTGGTGATATCAGTTTGGTATTCATTCAACACAGCGAAGCATCTACACAATAGGAAAGAAAATAGATTCGAAAAAACAGGGCATGTCATGTGAAGAGCCTCCAGATCTTGGCTATGATTCTACTCTTAACACAAAAACATTTATTCATTAGGAAACCTCATTACAGATTCTATTTATCAAGTAGCTAGAAACAGCTCCGGGAATCCTCTCGTGGCAAACTCTAGTGCACCTTATAAATTTATAATGAGTGGTGTCTCTTGAACAACACTGCACGATGACTCACTAGATTGCCTCGTTGTCTATCCTCTTGGAGATGATGGACCTGAAGCATTGGGACATGCATCTTTTATGGGTCTCTGGCTCCGTGTAAGAAGAGCATTTTCTGCTGCAAGCACCATTAGAATCTTCTACTTCTTGTACCTCTCTGACAAGGACTTGGTCCGAGGGCAAACGGTCATGCAACGTTGATACATTTTTTTAGATCTAAGGTATAAGTAACAAACATTGTTTGATATTCCTTAATTAGCATGGTTTGATTCCCCCTTGCATCTGCTTCTATGTGGAGAATGAAACCAATCAATTGTTAGGTTACGACTAGATATTTTGAATAATATATAAATGTAATAAAAACATGTCAAAATACACATAATTATGCTTTCATTTCTTTGTTTCTTTGCTCATAATTAAAATTCTGCAACGAACACATATATAGAGGATCCCTTGGAACCACCAATTGGGTTTGATGCAATTAATCAAACCAATGTAATGGTCTTTAGTGAGAACAAATATACGAAAAAAACCACAAAAAACCACAAAATGTCCACATGATGGTGGGCGGGTGGTTGGCGGGCCCAAGGTGAAGGATGCAATT